CAGTGTTTCCCTCCCCTCGCCCTGTGTTGTAAACTCCAGGATTTCCTCTGTTAATTGCAAATTGTGTTTTAGCTTTTGGCGGATTGTTGCTACTGTGATGTTGCAAAAACAGGCTGGAAATATTAGCAGAAAAGTAAATATTGCTGAAAAGGCAGCAGTGTTGCCATGAAAGGACAGTATGTTATTAAACTATTTGTGTGACTGAAGTACGGTTGAACTCCAGTGCTTTCTTGTTTAATTAAACTTGCCCTATAAAGCACAGTGAGAAAGGCAATTATTCAGATTTGCTGACTAGAAAAAAGGAGATTTCTTTTCCCATTCATCTTACACTAAACCAGTCAGCCAGGGACAAGAAGCGGTAGCGAGCATGAGGGGAAAGACACTTAAAAGCTAACAGGATGGTATTGCTACTGCAGTACATGGGAGACTCAGATAGGCTGGAAATAACAATGACAAACTTCCTCTATTCTTGTATTATGATTGTGAAACAGTATCATTAGCAGCATTACGGACTGTTGTCATGTCAAATCTCAATTCCCTCATCCAAAGCCCAGTGAGGCCAATAAGAGTCTTTCTATTGGCTTCAGTGGATCAGGGCCTCTGTCCAGATGCCTTAGGAATGAATTTTGAGAAACAGGCTGTGGTTCATAGTTCTGATTCTCACCCTACTTTTGTGATTAAGCCATTTATTTGGGGGTGAGAAATTACTATGCAAACTTGTCCTTGTAGCTTAAAACCCATGAGCACGTAAGGGCTATTTCCCATCACAGAGGAAAAATAATTGATGATTTAAACAGGACTGGCTCCTTTTAAATGGAATGGGGAGAAATGTTGTGATGGATGGCAGTTACACTGCAACATGGATGACTTACGGGTCAGAGAAATCATGACAGCTAAAAGTGTTGTTAAAGGATTTCTTAAATATAGCTTTCTGCTGTGTATCACTATAAAGCAATTAGAAAAGAGATGCTGTTGCGGGTATGTCAATACTAGTACAGTACTTCATGCTCCCTTACCTTACAGCAGGTTCCTGGGAGGTGCACTGCTGTCAATGAGAACAAGATCTTGGGATCTCAGACTACTCTATTTTACCCAAGCTTTCAAGTCCTGCCCATCACCATGGTATTGAGCACCTACTCCGGGGAACCAGACAAATCAGATTTAGGTTTGCAGTAGCCATCCGCTGTCCTGGGGTGTAACATGCAGGAATGAGTGGGGGCACTGTCAAGCAGAGACAGGCTTTTAGAGTAGGCTTTGCTCTAGCTCACACAAAACAATGAAGAACCACTGCTTTCCAGAATCCTGCTTGCCTTCTTAATAGCATTAAATATAGGTCAGTCAGGTCAAGTGCACTAGTCAGGATAATAGCATGGGTCAAGAAGCATCTGCTCACCACTGTGCATGTGGATGTATCCCCCTGATGAATCAGATGTACATGCCTTCGGAAATGTATGTAAAACTAGTCAACCCCATGATAACAAAGCTAGTTTTACACGGACACAGGTGCTTCATCACTGGTTTATTTTTAAGGAATAAAAATACAAACAGTTCTCTAAGAAAAAAACATTACAATGTACAAATATAGTCACCTGCTACAACATGTGAGACAAACACAGAAAAGGTCAGATGATAAATAATGACATAAATCCCCCAAATTCTGTTTTGGTATTAATCAGAAACTGCACACTGGATAGTGTTAGTTCTAGATGTTCAAATCTGATATAGTGGGCCAGCTTTGCAAAACTGAGTTTCTTTGAAGGTCGGATGTCCACTGTTTTACTCTCCACTGCATGCCTCTCACATGGCTGGCCAGTTATGGAGAATACAGCCATATCCCTGACTCCTTCTCACCTCCTTTGGCACATTTCCCTCGGAGCATAGAGAGCACGGGAAGAGAATGGTACAGATCCTGAATGGAGTGAATTCTGCCTGTCTTTACATGGAACACACAGGTGGGGATTGTGGGAAAAGGAGAGACTCTTTATGTCCTTCACTATCTTTGGGCATGCATGTAGGGACCAAGTGCAACTGTAAATATTGGATTTATGTCACGTGATGCTAAACTAACTTTTGTTGCACAGTATTTAAAATAGAAGATAAGTCACACTTTCCCGTTTGAAGAGGATCTCTTCTTTGCTCTGTGCTTGGGGATTGTGCTCTGGGCACTGATCAACCCATGCAGGAATCTTTAGCAATCGCTGAGCCATCAGTCATCTCAAAATGATTACTAGCTATCAACAGAGATTTTTGGGTTAAATCAGGAAATGTTGTAATGAGATGCAGTCAGAGTTAATGGCATAAAACAGAAAGCAGTTACAGTGAGAGGCATGCAGAAAACAGCAGAGACAGGAACTCCGAGATGAGGATATAAATAAAAGGACAGGTGTTCTCCTTGGTTGTGTAATGTGATGGAAATTCAGTAATTGATCTATAAATAGAAGAGACAAAAGCAAAACATTCACAAAAGTACATGAAGGGCCATATCTTCAGTTGCTGTAAATCCATGGGCGTCAATGTTATTAAATGACTTACGCTGGCTGCATATATGATCCTACATGTTTATGGTAAGCAGGGACAAAAACAGCATTTGTCAGAAAACATTCATCAAAGCACATGAAAGTGCCTAACGTTACGGACTGCACTCTGTGAACAGAGTTGTGATAAACTGATGCTAATAAATAAGAAATGCAGACAACACTAGGATGACTAGATTCTTTCAGTTTCTTAATTAACTCATATATTCAGACTCTGTGTCACAGTTACAGACAACCCTAAAAAAAGAAAGGGACATGTTTATATTTTGCTTCCTGGGTGTATTTTTGGAATGCCAGTAGCTAAATCAGAACAAATACTAAAGTCAACTGGGCTCAGCCTGAGAGAGCTCTGATCAGGTTACAGTGGTCACCCTTAAAACTTGGCCAGTCACCTCAATGTTTGCAGTACTGCTGAGGGAATGTTATTTAATTTTTGCTGGCAAGTGGCAATTTTTTAACCGTGATCATTCAACATATTTTGGTTAATTTTTCTACACACTATCAGTTAAATTCTAAAAATCTAAGACCATCTATGCCTAAATTTTAGCTTCAGTGCTTTAAAATGAAATGCTGGTCTCGATTTTTTTCTTGTTCCAAACCCCAACTCCTTTACTTATTTATTGATCTGAGGCAGGGTAATTCTGAAGTGATTCATTCAACAGTACATTTATAAACATAGAAAATATGAGGTCATTTATTTTTTGGTAGACTGTTTACTCCAGTAAATTGTTTCATAAACTAAGATAGATTAAGTTTCTGATCCAAGATCAGGAAGAAAATTCTTATGAAGAGAAAAGCGCTTTCTGGTTTTCCTCAGCCAATATAATTGTGAAATCTTTTGCTTTAAGAACTGACATTTCACTAAAGTTAAAAAGTCTGTTTCCATTTGAAATTTATCATATAAAAGCTTTAGATGCTGTGTACAATTTAGCTTAAATATTAATGTCTATTGAAGGGAGTAATCACAGCCCTGTAGCTTTTCTGCATGGCCCAATTTTTTAAAAGGTATTACATACGTATCACAGAGCCAGTCTCAGCATTATCATTTACCTTATGGTAAAAGATTATCAGTTGGATCCTCAGCAACTGTAAATCAGCATAGCTCCTTTGACTGTCGTGGCACACCACCATTTAAAGTCTGCTGAGGTTCTGGCCGCAAAACTCTAACAAAGTAGGATCTTTCCAATTGTCAAGACATCAAACGGTACTAAAATAACTGCAGTTGAGCATGTTTTCCTCCTACTGTTGCTTAATCTAAAACTCTGAAAATGTGCTTGCGTGTGCCCCCAGCCATTGTTCACAATCACAGGTGAGCAGCCTCCTATGACTGAAGCCTTTGCAAAGATTTACATTTTAATACAACATAATAGTAAATAAATAGGAAGATCTTTATCTATATTGTGGAACAGTCTGCCCTGGCTAAGGAATGAATTCTGCAGCACAGACAACACATACTGTTTAATTTTAACTTCTTAATGGCTTTGGAAACATGCATATTCACCCAATTGAATGCTAGTAGCCTTCCTGAAGATAACTGCAATTTGCGTGAGTTCATTATTTCTGAAGGCCTAGCAGCATCAGAAGAATTACATCACTTAAAATGGAAGTCAGTCCATTTTTAAACCTGCTAAAACCACCCTTTTGGTACATTCTATCTGTCTTGGAACTGCATAGACCAAAATCCAATAAAACTAATGTAAACAGTTAGAGATTAGTAACGTAGTTTTCCAAAGGAGCAGCAATGCAACATACAAATTCCCATGATATTTTTCAAAAATGGTAGTGCACTATGCAATGCATAAATGATTGTTCCTTAAATGTGTATTTTCAACAATAAAACAGTTATGATTAACAAAGTTTAAGCTAGTTGAAAAAATGTCCAAATAGCTTTCATAATTTTTTTTAATTTTGAAAAATGTCAACAATAGCAAAAATTTCCATGAAATTTAAATTTTTGCACAGTGGTTCCCCCAAATACTTAACACTTGGAGAAATAAATGACTATACCACAATGCAATGTGCATGGCACTATAGTGAAAATACACTCTAACAGGGATAGTATGCTAATAATGATCTTTCCACTAGCATAGCACTTTCCATAAGACCTGTTTGTCCACCACTCTATCCAATGGCCTAATGTTTTCTTCCATGCTGTCCTTTCGCAGAAAATGCCTTTCCTCCACTACTCTGTGAAGCCACTATCTTGTCCTCTTCCGAGTCCTTTTAAAATCTACTTCTGGTGTGGGTCCCCATTGGAAATTACTACATGATCTGGCTAGTAGGAATGACTTGTCCCTATTTTATGTGAGTAGTTCTATGTTAGCAAGCATCCATCTTGGCACATGTGATTATGGACCAGCTATGTGCACAGGGCTGGATTACCCAATAGGCAGACTAAGCACGTGCTTAGGACACCAGCAAAGCAGGGGCACCAAAAATAAATAAATAAATAAATGAGATTTTACGGTATAGTATTGTTTTTATTTTGAATTACATATGGGGGGGGACGGACACCATAACCTTTTCAGTGCTTAGGGACTCTAAAGGTCTTAATCCAGCCCTGTATGTGCATATCATTATTTCTCTTCTTCACCCTCTCCAATTTCATTCTATATCTGTTATATCCACTTATTATATCTTGTGTGTAACTGAGCTGTAAACACTTTGGTGAATTGTAAATTGAACTGTAAACACTTGGTCTTGTACAATACCAAGCAGACCAGAGCCTGGCTCCTGACTGGGGTCTCTGGTGCGAGCCTAACACACACAATAATAATCAGAGGATCTTACAGTGTTTTGGAAACCTTAATTCATTAAAGTTTCACACTACATCAGTGGCCTGCGTAATGATTGCTCTCATGCTGCAGATGGGGAGTCTGAGGCTTAATTAAAGAAGGGATATGAGCTTGGAGGAAGACTGTGGTAGAGCCAAGAATAAAATCTAGAGCTGGGCTGAAAAGATGTCAAAACCATTTTTCAATAAATAACAAAGAAAAAAGTTATTAAAATGGTGTCAAAACACTTTTCCTCACACAGTTCTACCAGAATCTGCAGCCCTTGATTCACAGTATTATCATTTTAATTATCACCAGGCTGGTCTTCCTTCATGTTGATGGTAAATCTGTTTTAACCATTGACGAGACTAATGCAAATAGGTTGCTTAATAAAGAGTTCATAGAATTGTATTCAGTTATGTTTTAGGGGTGGTTTCCTAAAATAGCAGATTTGATTGAAGTCTAGAGTGTTCTCTTGTACAGTAAGCTTTACAAATAACATGCCTATGAGATTAAAATATTTAATTTTGGGTGGTGGATCTTTCTCACATGCTCAGGATCTAACTGGTTGCCATATTTGGGGTCAGGAAGGCATTTTTCCCCAAAGTCGGATTGGCAAATTGTTTTTTAGTCTTTTTCTGATGCTTCAGTCACAGGTCACTTGAAGGTTTAAACTAATGTACATGGTGGATTTGCTATAACTTGAAATATTTAAATCATGATTTGAGGACTTCAATAATTTAGTCCAAGGTTAAGGATCAATCACAGGAATGGGTGAGTGAGGTTCTATAGCCTGCAGTGTGCATGAGGTCAGACTAGATCATCATAATGGTCCCTTCTGGACTTAAAGTCTGTAAATCTAATTCCTTGCATTTGTTTAAGATGTTGTGATGCACAGCAGGTTGTCAGGAAACCAATTTTAAACTACTGTAACTAGTACCTTGAGAAGGGCAGGCAGTGCTAATATACTTTAAGAACCCAAGAGAAAATCCCAAACCCATGAAGCCTCAGTGTGGGTTACCAGGTAGTCTGTCTATCAGTAGATTGCTTTCAGTCTTGTCTCACAGCCCACTAATGCACACACCTGCAGCCTTCTGAGAAGAGACAGCATTGCAGAAGGCACCGATTCAGCTGCTCCCAGGTGTGGCAACCAACTGGTACCATTAACATGTGTATCTTGTTTAGAATGTGGTTGCACCCAAAGTGCATGATACACTTTTAAATCACAGCTGGAGACAGTGCTCTGTAGAGCACACAAAATATCTAGTACTGGGCAGTAGCTGTTTTGTGAGTGTATGCAAAGCATGTTACACGCTTAGCCTCTGCTGGGAATTCTTGGCAGCTCTCCAGCACTGATCTGCACTGCACTTACTTAGTCCAAGGGCTTCAGACTCTGCTTTCAATCCCTGGAGATAGGGACTAACAGAGGGGAAAATACGATCTTCATAATAAGGTACAAATATGAATAATTATAGAACCCAGCTGGGATTCTCTGTGTGGAAGTTACCAATTGGCTGGAATGAACAAACTGCACACAGCCTTGCTCCCTGGTGTGCAGAGAAATGGCAAAGGTTGCCCCACCCCCCTATCCTCTTACTCTGATGGATTCTATTCCTCTGGTGGCACTGAACTGATAGGGGGGAGTGATAAGAGCGCCCATCAGTGCAGGTAAGGAGCAATCCCCATATGCACCTGAAGGCAAAGACTGCAATGTGCTGCCAAAGCTGGATCCCATTCACAAAGGATGGAGAAGGCTTCTTGGACAGTCCCCAATCTCCCACCAGACTTAATATTTTTAAAATGTAGGTAGGCAGTATACTGTATTTAAGAGGCCTCACTGCCTACTGCCAATGTTACATTGACAAAGTACTACATTAGGATAGGATACTGAATCTCAAAACCTGGGCTAGAAACTTTACGATTTTCTTCATTGTTTCTAAAATAATTTGAAAATACCTAAAACATGATGCAGTGTGAAAACTAACAGTTTCTTTTTAATTTAAATCTCTTGATTACTGCACATCTGCCTGCTTTGAATATTTATTTCTAAATTATCTTGAAGATTTAACTTAGATGATCTGTAGTTCTCTAGCCCTGGCTTTTAAATCTCAACCATTTCAAGCTGATCTCAGTAATCCATCTGTAAATCTCTGTATTAGAACCAGATTTACAATACGCCAATCAAGGTTTGATTGGGGTATTGTAAATCTGGTCCTAATGCAGACTTAGAGCTGGAATTCAGATCAACTTGGAATGAAATACCTAGGACTCAAGCAAGCACATGTTCAATAGAAAAATCTTTTATGCAGAACATTCCTTCCCTTAAAGGTGACCTGCAAAGAATTTCTTTAAAAGTGGGAATTGTGTCCGTTCCCTCTATAAATGGATGTATAAAGCCAGTGATTTTTAAAAAGAAATTCCTGAGGGTTTTCATTTAGAATTATCAGTTTGTTTTTTCCTGCTTTTGCTGAAAAATAGCAAGAAGTACTAGGATGATTATTTTTACCTCTTACCTGAAGAAGAAAAGGTGTTGACTCTTTAGCATAGAGCTCCTTTACCAAATATATCAAATAATAATTGAAGGAAAATTGGGGCTGGTTTGTTAGCAGCTAAATTTAAAAGAGTCTGCCTAAAAATCCCTTTGCCTCTTAATCACTGAACATTCACTTATTTGGTTTACATAATTTCACTACATTTTCTGCCATGGCAGGAGACTACTGTTTAGATGGGTTCTGAATTTCTAGTGAAAAAGACAAAAAACCCCACAAACTTTTTTCAAACACGTTTCCAAGCATTATTTATAGATCAAAAAGGAAGAAAAAAAAAGAGGGGAGAAGGAAGGCATGAACCTATTATTTTTCTTTGCAGATACCTTTTAAAATAAATACACCTTTCTAAAGATTAAGCAAACAATTCTTTTGAATCTGCTTTGCCTCTCATTTTACCAGGAATCTCGTTCATTGTTTATGTCATATATATGGTAACAACAAGACTTCACATCCATGTTATTTAAGCTCAAGTGAAACGAGTTCCTGGAAGAGATTGTTTTAATAAAATTAATTTTTGGTTTGTCCTCCATTATATTTTCTGGCACTCCTGTACTCACTTGTGAGAGATATTTATCTCCTTGACAATAAGCATCTCAGGTATGGCTAGCCACTATCTCTGACAGGGCTGTGTCATCATGCAAAAAAAAAAAAAACCCAGTGTGAAAACAATGAGAGTTAGCAGTCTACATAACTACGAGGTTCTGGTCCTGAACTTCTACTGTCAGAAAACTAGACAAGGTCAATCATGGACAGTACTGACCTTGTGTAGCTACTTCACAATAACTACACATGCCTTGCCTCCACTAGGATTTTGCAGCAGGACAGTCAACGGTGTGTTAGCTATCCATGGCTAAAACCAGTTAAAGATATATATATATTTATTTACAGTGAAGACAAAACTTAAGAGCACCTATGAAGGTCTATGATATGTTGCTAAGAAGTGTCCTGACACACTAAGAGGAGTGACAGAACAGTCTGTTGAAGACATACTCTCATTCTCTAGTGTTAACTAATGGGCAATTTACGAGAGGTAGCTAATAGATTTGTAACAGCTAGTGTGGACATTCCACACAAGCTTGTTCCAGATTACAAAGATTTTTTTTTCCTTTAGGGTAAAGAACAAACTTCTGTACCCTGGATCAAATGTGTTGGTGAGTCTTCACATTAACTTTTGCAAATATGCTTAGCTTGGAAGGCCCCTGTTGTCATGACAAAAACAAATCTGCAAGTGACAGATATTTAGTAGCCAAGATAAGAATGATGGATTTGGCTTTAGAGGCAGATTACCCCTATATTGAACAGGCAGTCAAGACAAGTCTGCTGCCTCCTGGTAGGTGAAGCTATTACATCGTGGGGGTGGAATAGCTTGGCAGACTGAAGCAGAGGCATGACATGCAAAACTTAACTTAGCAAATAAGTATCTGTATATTCCGGGAATGTAAGTAAGGGCTTAATTTCTGTGCCATCACTTCCACCTACAGAACACATTTCAATATTGGATCATTAATTAGAGAGAGCAAAACAGAGTTAGACTGGAATATCTAGAACCACTTAAATCACTACAGGAGTTTCAGACTTTAGTAATTAGTATACCCAGCTTTCCCTTCCTGACAAACCTCTATCCTGGATCCTACTAGGTTACTGCCACCCCCTTCTGCTTCATTTGTACACATACTAATCCACATTTTGAGGCTGTTTGGTTCTAAGTCTCATGATTATAAAACAAGTTGCACTGTTAGAGCACACACAATTGAATAAGAGGGTAGAACAGCTAAGGATTTAATTTGGTAAACCAATGCAATTAAACAAAAAGGAACCACTGTTAAATGTTCACTAGGAGCAGCTCCATCAGGTCTGCTAGTAGGAAACACTTCTCCAAATCCTTGGGGTAGGTTGCATATGTCCTTTCATAGACTTCTGTATGTGCTGCATGCTGGGTCCTCTTCTTTAGGTTTCAAGCCAACACCTATAGCAGAAAGAGCACGTCTGTCAGGCACCTACTATTGTAAACACATTTTATTTAAAAGCATCAGAACAGTTGTAACCCTTACTCTTTTACCAGCTATAAACTGAGTACTATTCATGCCTGCAATCATTCCAGTGTTGATGCGCCAAAACAAATCTAATGGTGTAAGAAAGAGAAGCAGTTCAGTACTGATTCAGAATTTACCCTGAAGATTTTACAAATATAATGAATTTTTAAATCTCTGCAGGCTCTCTCTCAAACTGTCAGTTGGGAATAGAAGGAGTATCTCTTTGAAGCCATAATGATGTGTTCAATGTTCATGTGTCTGTGTGACTTCTGAATGCAATGAAAGTAGTTTAGTTGAAGGAATAATAACTGGGTACCAGCTATTGTCAGGTTTGCAGTTAAGTCCTTCTGCATATTTAATTTTCTCATCTTTGCTAATTATTTTTAAACTAAAACTCAGAGGTTATGAAGCCTCCATGGAACCTCCTCTTGCCAAGGAAGACGTAAACTTGAAAATATAAAAACACATTCCTTCAAAAGGCAAACTACATCGATTTAGCTCACTCCAGCAACAACAAAACAAAAAAACCCAAGCAATCTCAAAATCATTCATGCTCAGCAAAAGTGACTGTGAAAAATACTGGAGACTACACATATTTAAGCAATAAATTTCTGTTTCCCCTAGTCTCCTACTGGTTGCCATAATTCTACTGAAAAGTGACTGTGAGAGAGATGCTTGCTACAGGTTTCAAAATACGAAGGAAGCTCTTTACAGTTACATGTACGCAGTTCAGAAAAAGTCAGTAAGTACCCTCATACTAAAGAGCAGAATGTGTCCCTTGTTTTTTATGCACTGTTTATACTGTCAACAAATAAAGTGCTATCATTGTGATCCATTAGGGGTCTGGGCAGGAGTTAGGGGGCAGGATTGGGCTTAGAGCTGGAGTGTGTGATTGGGGTGTGGGGCACTTAGCTGAGGCAGCTCTTGTTTGGTGGTGGTGGGAACACGTGGCTCTGTGCAGCCCCACATGTGCCTTCAAGCCCCGCCCCCACAGCTCCCATTGGCTGCGATTCACGGTCAATGGGAGCTGCAGAGAGGGAGCTAGCCCTGGGCTGGGGGGGGGAGGGAAGAGGGAGGCAGGAATGGTATTGTGCAGAGCTGTCTCCCCTGCCAGGAAAGACTGGCTCAGAACACAGGAGCTTCAGCTGCTGCAGCTCAGAGCCCTGGGCTAAAAGGAGCTCCCTGAGCCAAGGACCTTATGCTGCAGCCTCTAAAGCTCCTTTCTTAATCTGGCCCTGGCCACAAGCTGGATCCAGCCTGCTGGCTGTATGTTCCCCACCCTTGCATTAGAACATTGAGAAAATCTCCAGCTGCTTGTCTTAGTTTTCCAAGAGGGCATCTCTCAAACAGTCTTTCTCCAGCAAGCACACCATTTTTAAGGGTTCTTTTATTCTCAATTCCAGAATGACACAGAGGCTCTGAATACTTCTTGATTAATCAAACATTCTTTTAAAAGCACACATGCAGGGAGTGAAATTCCTGACCCCACTTAACCAATGACAAAACTCCAACTGATTTCAGGAGAGGAGGGCAGAATTTCATCCCCAGGTACTTTTGGTAACAAGGTACATTATGATCAGTGTACCTGGTACATTTGGCAATAGCACTAATTAAAGCAGAACTGAGCCTTTTCCCCAACAATTTGAAATTGAATAGTTTCACAAACGATACCTAAAAGAGGGGGTGCTGTCTGGTAGAGTTTCACAATTGCTGACTGTAATAAAATGAAACATAGGTTTCAATGAACTTCCAAGTTTGTACTCTGTAAGAATAGTTATCCCATCAGTTTAAAAAATTCATAATTTAAGTCAATAAAGTTATTTCATACAGAGCCTTGAATTAAAATAGCAGGGCAAAGTTTACTGTATTTTAAATCCAGAAGCATTCTGTTTAAAAAAGCTTCAGTGTATTTACTTGAGTTTATTTATTAAACTTAACATGTGATACAAGGGACATGTAAAAACTTGGGAAAAAAAGTAGCATCCATTTACATATTTCCCAATGAAGTCCATCACCACAAACAAGAGAAAAGCAGTTTTAACAAACAAGACAGTAGTTTTAACAAACGAGACAGCTAGTTGAAGATTAAATGTGGTCATCAAGAAAATAAAACAAAATGGCAATGCAACTTAAATCATTCAGGTAATACTAAACTCCAAAAACAGGTTAATGTTATAGCACAGCTGGAATTAGCATGGGGGGAAAACAGCCCCTGAAAACTTGAGGTAAAGCTGAAAAGTCAACACCTGAGAAACTTAGAAGATGTATTCATTTTATACTACCTTAGAGTCAGATTCTGGTTCCTCAAGATTGCTCTGTATCACTCTGATGATACAATACAGCCTTAAAGTTGGCTTAATTAGATTCCTAATCATAGGGAAATCCCCATGTGGCTTTATGGTTTATGCTATCTCCTGTGCACTCCTGGATGTAGAGCACATAGCCAGGGCCCTGCAATCTTCATCCAATGCCTGGATGTCAGTCTGACTGATAGAGACGTTTTCAGGCAGACGAACATAAGCTATAATACGACTGAAGCCATTTCTTTCTTGCATGGACCAGATCAGCATCTCTGAAGTCATGGTAACACAAAGGTTCTCCCTCTCCCCTTCCAATATGGCCAAGCCCCACAATCTGCTGTGTAAGTCTAAAACTTTAGCATGATCATAATTCAAAAACCAAACTTTCCCTTTTTTCCACTGTATCTAATTACTTAGCAATGTAAAGTATATAAAATATTTGTTTTTGTCATAATTAAATGTTATCTGTCTGTTTGAGTCACTTTGGCTAAATCCAAAATAAAAGGAATTCTCTTCTACTGGTAGAATTAAATGCTAGGTAGAACTACATTTATAAGAGTCCTTAGAAAAAGTAAATGAAACTTTGAAACACCCATAAGTCAAGAAAAAAAAAAAGATAAAAGGTCAGCCTCAAAAGGTGCTCAGCAAAAATGGCTTGCTTATGAGGTTTGTAGAATGCCTAAAATTACTGGATGGCTTTTTCCTTCTAAAAATTTCCCCTCCTGGTTGTTTTTTTCTCTTTTACACATTTTTATCTGGTTGTCTATCTTGGAGGACTCTATGGTCTTTAGCAAAAAAAGGTGCACTTTTAACATGTGTTGAAATCCTTGTGGTGACAAAGCATGTGTAGTTTAAGACATGTTAACTGGCTGAAGTAAAACCTATGGGAGAGCCTCAGGTTTACCTTGACCATAAAACGACAATTGCCTTGTATACAGTAGTATTTTAACATATTTGTGTTAACATGCAAAAAAAAAAAAAAATTCCTTGTCCTGCTGTGAAGACAAGGCCTATGATAACTTTAGAACACATTATTACATCACAAGAAGCAGAGACTAACAGTGAGCATCTGAGAAGGGTAGAGATATTTACAGAGACTATTTTAATTTTTTGTTGTACTCAGTGGGTGCATCTAGACTGGCAAGATTTTGCCAGTTGTCTACACTGGCCGCTTGAATTTGCGCAAGAGCACTGACTTTATAATGTACAAAATCAGTGCTTCTTGCGCAAATACTTTCAGGCTCCCGCTTGGGAAAAAGCCATCTTGCGCAAGAATACTTGCTCAAGAGGGCCAGTGTAGACAGGGAAGAACTGTTTTGCGCAAAAAAGCCCCAATGGCTAAAATGGCGATTGGGGCTTTCTTGCACAAAATCGCATCTAGATTGGCCACGGATGCTTTTGCGCAAAAGCATCCGTGCCAATCTAGATGCGCTTTTGCGGAAATACTTTTAAGGGAAAAACTTTTCCATTAAAAGTATTTCTGCAAAATCATGCCAATCTAGATGCAACCAGTACCAGTTTCATTCTGTCACTATGAGATTATGGGGACTAAAGGCAGCTTTAGCAAAGATTCAAGTCTACTGATTCAATTAAGGTGACTATTCACAATATATATTTGAGATCTCTAATACAGGCAGTCATTGCCATAAGTCCAAGATACGTTCCAAAATACTTGGACTTAGAGAGAAACAACTAAAAACGGGGATTTTTTTCCCCTCCACAGCTAACTTTCATTTGTGCAATTTTTGTTTTGCATGACTTAAGTGCAGGGACTGAGAGGACTTGTAGGGAACTAATGTGTTATAAGCGTCAATGACTTTACTGTGGAATGGATGTATACCGGGGCGACTTATAGCGGGGATACCCTATACATCTTCCACACAAAGGCTCAAAATATTCCCAATATTTGATCATTGCTTAAATTTATCAGCAGAGAGGGCTTAAAATCTCATCTCCAGTATTCTGGAGTTTGTTGGGTTTTGTAGTTTTAAAGTATACTGTATAACATGGCAATTCAGAGTAATCTCAAGAAAACAAAAACATCCAAACTATTTTTTACTCTCCCCTCCCCCCCAGAGGAGAAAGGAAAAAAAGTATGTCATTTTACAATATATATTACTGAGTAAAGCATTCATGTAAAAAATCCTACCCATTACCAAATGCAAATAAAAGAAAATTGGTCCACAGACACTATTCACAAAAAAACCAGGATGAAAAAATGTACTTATAAGCAGGCCCATAGTCTACTTTTTTAAAATAAAATAAAAAAAACACCACCCCATAAACTGTCCAATTCACCTAGCAATTTTTCTCCTGGTATTGATCCTCTTTTCAGAACAGCAGTTGTATTTGGGAAGATTGCTAATAATTCACCAACATGGCTAGAAGGCTGAACTCTCTTTAAGTCCTGGTTTGACAAAATCCTGGCTGGGATAATTTAGTTGGGACTGGTTCTGCTTTTAGCAGAGGGTTGGAGTTGATGACCTCCTGAGGTCTCTTCCAACCCTTTGATTCTAATTAAGTGAAAGCATAAGCTATGCAAGTGAGCCTGTTCTCTTTTCTGGCTCACTAATATGTCCAGACTAATATGAGAAAGTGTGAACGGAGGTGAGTTGAAATGTAGTAGGTACAGC